GCCCCAATCCTTGTTTTGATGTCTTAGGGAATACTRAGAACTTCTGCTGTCATTGTGCAAAAGGTCAAATTCTATCCCCTGTGACAACACAGCTGCATTCAGGGAAAACTGCTGTTGTTATTGCATTAAATTGGTCATTTTATGCTCTCCAGAAGGTCCATCTCTTTTCAAGGGTTTAAATCCAAGAGGAAATCCCACTAAAATCAAATAACATTACAGTATYGGAAGAATAAGTATATCTACACAACCTATATAGACCTGACAAACAGTAAATATAAAAATCATATTTATTATGAGAGTCCTAAATGAAGGAATTTTAAGGGGAAGAAAAAGCATGAAATATACTCCATAATAATAAAATTAAATGATTATAAAAGAATGATGACAGACTTGCTTTTAATTWAAATAACACCTGTTGGATTAAGTTTCAAAGAAGTGATCAAAGAAAATACTGAGCAAAAAACAAAGCACACAGTAAGTGTTTAGTAGATCAAAACATTTAAAATGTTTCAGAGAAGTATGAGATGTAAAAGGGAAAAAAACATTGGGGATTATGTTAGRATTATAGTGAAACTTGACTAAGGGAGCAACACTCCTGAACAAATAACATTACATTAAACTAATTACAGTTTAGAATATGAAATTGTTAAAGTTTGCTATCTCAGCTGTTTCTTTAAACTGGAAAAGAGATTAATCCATATTACAAAAATAGTTAGTGGTTCAGAGGGCAGAAACTATAAAATACTGCTGAAGTTTGGAGAAACAACAACAAAATCCACAAGAAAGCACAATCTGCAGTCTTTGGAAAGCTAAGGCATGCGAGGAGCTCTTTGTGCAAGTCCATTTACTGCACTTGGGAGTCCTGCTGCTATCAGAAAGGTGCACGTGGGTGCGTTGGGATGCTCCCAAAATCCAGGATGTTTTGTCTGCAGTTTAAGACTGAGTAGTTTAACTGAAGTTAATAACGTCACAGGCAACAGATTTATTTTCAACTGGAGGATATTCTTCCCTGCTGCTTTTGTCCTAGAGACAGTCTTGTGTTTTTATTCTTTCAAGTTTCCTCTGAAGATTTTTGCACTGTAAACTTTCTTGCTTAGTAAAGATGTCTTGTGTTCAGTTCTGTTCAAGCCCCATTTAAATCAATAGGGATTGTGAATGCCAGAAATTCGTAAGAGGACTCGAGCACACTGAAACTTGTGGAGGATGTTATGGCTGACTGCTGGCTCCTCTTGCTGGTGAAAGATGCTGAGGCAGGCAGCCAGCCAGCTGCTCTCCCCAGGAGGGAGTTAGTCCCTGGATCTCAGTTTGGGAACGGCTGTCTTAAATAATTTTGTTCAAATATAGTGCCTTTTATGTTCTTTCCARTTCTCTGTCCTTCTCACAATTACCATTTCACATGGGAAGCATGTACCCTTTCTTCTTGTTCCTCTTCTTTTTCCTGAGATGGCCTGTCTGTGTTTCACTCCCTGTRTTTTATATACTTAAACACATATATGTACACATGTATGTATCCTGGCAGAGCGAGCTAACAAGAAATTAATTTGATGCTAAGCTTCCACAGTTTGTACAGAAAATATGAAACAAGACTGTGCTGCATATGTGCAGACTCAAGTTATGCTCATTCATAATCATAAAGTTGAATCAACTTTTGGCCATTAAAATGTGTTTTATATGTCTGGGGATTTTTTACAAGCACACTACATGAGACTTTATGTAGGTGATCAGTACATTACACTATCTGATGGACAACAGCATATTGTAAGTGGTAATTATCTCTTTCCTAAGTAATTTTTTTAGCTGGCTGATGAAGGTTTTTGATTTTCTGTTTATCACAGTTTAAGGGCTGATTTGAAAATCCCAGTGTTACAGTCACTGTACTCCAGCAAACAGATGGTGGAGAACCATCAGCTGTAATCTGTGAGTAAACAAAGGCAAGTGAGGTTTGGTACGGGGTTTTGAAGATGAGATGTAATCGTGTTACAGAAGTGTAAGAATGCTGTGAAACAATTTTACCCTGCYTGTACAGTACAGAACAAGCTCTATTTGATCTGGCATGATAATACCATTTTTTGCTGTATTACTGAAACTTCCAGCTTTGGTACAGCAGGAAAATCACGATGTCTGATCAACAGTTAGGAAAATGGGAATAAATGGGTTGCACATGTGTRTTTTTTCCTTTGTGAAGTACATAGGGCAGCTGAATGACAAACAGACTCTGTGAARTTGTTTACCAAGGAGAAGAAATGAGTAAAGCACACACTCACCAGGGTCTTTACAAAACAYGGGGAATACTACTGTTTTGGAGAGCAAGAGAGAGCATTTGCTTCTAAAATAGAGAGAATTATGTGATTTTGTTGTCTTTTCTAAACGTAGACAAAAGGTGAAGGGATCACACAATATTTGTTTTTCCACCGGATGGTTTRTTTGAAAGTGTTTGGGGTGGCTGGGGAGGAGGACTCTCCTCCACTGACAACACGTAGCATGAGAAGAAATTGCAGAGGAGTGCTCAACACTTTGAGGTCAGGAAGGTGAAAGCACACCAAAAGCTTTGCTGGGAGGCTCGAACATTTTTGTGGTTTCATCTGTTTACCTTAGCAATGATAGAAGATTTAGACAATTACCCAGCAGTCTCAACACTGCCTTCTAGGGCCACGCTACATCTTCTCTTCAGTAATGTCACTGGGAGCCCGATATTGTGAGCATTTCAGTTCAAGTGTYGTTATAATCGGGTCTGATATAATTAGGAGTTTAAGAATGGTGGCTGAAAATGATCCAGTTTGAAGAGATTAACTGGRTGGRGAGAGATAYCGTGATGCATTCTTTRGAGCTCAGTCCAGGTCTGCACRTTTTCTGTTGCTGTTGATTCATCAYAGCTAAGAARGGCGCTCATTTTTGAAGGTTTGCTGAATGTTTCAAGGAMATAGATAAGAAATTTTCCCCTCTTGGCTGCACACTGGCATTGGAGCTCCATAGCACAAATTCTTGATTCTCACATAGTAAAGAGTTAATTATTTTGGTGCCTCAAAGGAGACCAYGCTTCCCAGTTTTGCAGTTTGTCAGTGTGAGGCAAAGGTGTCCATAAGGCCTCTTCTCATTGCCAACTGTTTCAGTTTATGGCACTTTTAACTCAGTTACACCTTCCTTTTGYTCCTTTCCTATTTGTTTTTATGTCTTCTTTTTCTTTTCATCCCTCTCTTTATTACTTCCTGAGGATGTGTTTTTCTTTTCTCTTTAAGTTTTCTGTTTTCTAGGTTTTTCTTGGTGGTGCACCAGCAGTAGATATTCAGTCGTTTTCTAGGAAAGCCAGCACTTCTGTTTGTCTTGTTATTCTCCTTTTTTTATCTGTAGGAGGTAAATAGAAGAGGGAAACCAATGGAAAAGTGAAGTATCTCTACTGAGAAGGAAATCTTGGGTTAGACAATATACCTGTGTTACAATGAGCTGTGGCTAGGATACAGGCCAAAAATGTGTGGAGCATGAAGTGCACAAGGACAACTTGAATGCACAGATTTCACAAAACAGCAGTGCAGAAATCTGGAACAATCTTTCTCCTAGTTTTTTCAGCCTTTTCAATTTTGCCTTGACTAGTAATAAGTCTTCTACCATGTCTCTACTGTTAACTGAGGTATTTGTAAACTGGAAAAGAAGCCCTCATGCCTACATTAGCAGGGAGAGGCTAGGTTTGGGCCTAAGAACAGAGAGACATGCAGTGGAAGAAGCTCTACATCAGAGATAGTTTGCCCTCTCCTCTGTGTCCCGCCTAAATTATTTGAACAATATTCTGCAAATTAAATATTCAAAGTTAAAGGAAGATAGACCAGCTTCTGTATGTTCTGTGACTGTCGCATTAAATACACCAAGCCACCTGAAAAGCGAGGGAGTACATTGAGTGTGAGGAACTGAAATGATGTCAGGTTATGGCAATGTGTGCGTGCATGACCAGTGCACATCTGCCACGTGAAACATCTGGGGCTCAGGCCAAGGTCTTGGCACTGGCTGTGGCCTCTCCTTGTGCATGGGGTGCCTGCTGCCCCACAGTGCATTAGGTGCACTCTCAGGAGGCGTTTTTTTGGCTTACTGCTTGCAGTCTGTGCACTGAGTTTGCTCCATATCTGCTTGAAAGTGCTCTTCTGATGCACAGTAAAACACTAACATAGTCCTACCTCAAACATTCCCATTTTAAATTTGCCTTTCCCCTCTTAGAACACATGTTATAATGGACTAAACCGTGGTCATAAACTTCTAATATGATGACCTGAACTGCTGAACTGTTATTTCCTTCAATCAAACAGAGCAAAGAGGGAAGCAGTAATAAGATAGCACAGATGTTGAAAAGCCCGGGCTGTAAGGTAGCGCGGGATGGTACTGGCCTGCCTGTGGGATGTAGTACAACTACAGCAGGAGTATCCACACTGGGGCTGTGGCGCTGCCTACGCTTCRTAATAAATTATCGCTGACATACAAACAGTGTGCAACGTATCGGCGATTCATCTTTCATTCGTCTATTCCCACGCTGTCCGTTTTATCTCGATTGTTAATTTAATYCTGGCAATAAATCGCTTCTCTCCAATCTCCCCGTGCCGGGTGTGTGCGGGGAGGCGGGGGCTGCTCCCCGGGCTGGTGATTGATGGGCGAGGGGAGCCTGCCCTGCGGCCTCGGGGCTCCGCAGCCCCCCGGGACTGACGGCGGCAGCGGCCGCGGGGGGGCGGGAGGAGGCGGCGAGTCCTGGGCCGGCTGTGCGAGCACTAGTGGGAGCTGCAGAGGGCGAGAGGAGGGGAGAAAGCCCCAAACCACCCCCAGCCCCAGCACAGCGGCAGCGAGCCGGGCGGGAAAGGGGGTGAGCGCGGGAGGCGGGAGGGCTGCGAGTGCGGCGGAGGCGGCGGGAGCGGCAGGAGCAGCAACACCGGGAGAGGAGGCAGCCCCGCCGGGAGAGGAGGCAGCCCCGCCGGGAGAGGAGGCAGCCCCGCCGGGAGAGGAGGCAGCCCCGCCGGGAGAGGANCGGGAGAGGAGGCAGCCCCGCCGGGAGAGGAGGCAGCCCCGCCGGGAGAGGAGGCAGCCCCGCCGGGAGAGGAGGCAGCCCCGCCGGGAGAGGAGCCTTCGCCGGCGGTAAGGGCAATGAGGAGCCGGAGCTGGGCGGGAAGCGGGCGCTCGGGCGCGGAGATGCTGCGGCRGGGCKGGCGGGCACCTGCKCGGCCGAGGGGTGCTGAGGGGACCCGGGGGTGCCGAGGAGACCCGGGGGTGCTGGGCCTGCGAGCCCCGGTGGCCCCGAGTGCGTGCCCGTGTCAGGGAGGCAGCGCCCCGAGCGCGCCCGGCGCCTTCCAGCGCCCGCCCAGTGCCCCGGGAGCCGCGGCCACCCGGCCCCTGTCCCGTCCCGTCCCGTCCCGTCCCGTGCGAGGCTCGGAGAGCTCCCCCCGGGCTGTCCCGGCCGTGTCCCGGGTGAGGAGCTCGAGTGAGTGGCCGCTGGGACCGGCTGGGACCGGGCTCCCGGTGCTGCTCTCTTGGGGCACACGCCGCGCCTGTCCACAGTCTCGTTCTGTGCATGTCAGAAGCTGGCGATCGGTGGTGCTCCCGACGGGAACTTTTAAATGAAAACGCCGATTTTGTCAAGGTACATCTGGTTTTGTAGCTGAGGGCCCTGTGAATCTCTGGGAAGCGGGAAGCTCTCTTGCAGCAGTACGGTATTGTTAAACTCTCAGACTTTGTCGCTGGTGATGGACTGACGTGAACTCTTGATTTCCCGGTCAGATTATAGCAGTCGGTGTCTTCGGTGATGTTGTTCAGGAACACACCGCTAGGCCACTTCATTTAAGGACMTGATGAATGTAAATTATAGAAAGTGTCACTGTTAAGGCGTCTTTTGTAGATAAAACCAGAGGTCTGTCTAAGCATCCTGGGTCTGACGGTGCAAAACAGTTGTGCCTGAGGGGGAGTAAAAATAAGGCAGGCATGTAAGGATAATTCTCCAGAAGGCTCTCTCAGCATGTAATGATTTGCAGCTTGGATGCTTTCTAAGGGAGAGATGGTGTCTTTGCTGCACTCACTGATTTTTCCTTCCCATGAACTGAGTGSCCCTTGTCCCTGTGTAAACTTTTAGCAACGTGCTGTGGCAAGGAATTTCATAGCTTTAACTTTAYACTGTGTTAAACCCCATAGCATTTTATTCTGAACCTTTGTTAGGTAGTACCTATGTCTTTATATAGAGTTAGTGCAGAYTGGTCCTTATTTCTAGCTGTCCCATTCATGCTTTTATAAACTTCCAGTATTTTCTCTGTTGTCTTCTTTTCAGGCCAACACGCTCTCTCCTACTTTGCTTAAAGTTTACCTTAAGAGGAGAGAAATGAGTTTCAGAGAATTTTCAGAGAGCAGATCGTTTTGAATGATGGGCATATTAAAGTTAGGATGTTAAAAGCTACGGTCTCTGGGAATAACTCGTGGAGGAGGTGTTCATTAGTGTGAAAGAATGGCTACATGTGTTTGCCTACAGAGGACAAAATCTCCTGTGTCTGATGACTAGCATGGCTTACAGCACCAGTTTTTCCTCCTTTCTTTTACTGGCAGAGGCCACATGTGCTAGGAGTGGGTTTCTTTCAGAGATTTTTAAAAGCAAACAAAAACCAACCCAACATTTTACTGTTGGAGTGATAACTCATAATGTGTTTGTAACTGTAGCAGTGATAAACTCATCATGTGTTTGTAAGAATATTCTCTGGTTCTTGTGTTGAAATTTTGCATTGTTAGGAAACAGTTTTGCAGTTATTTCAAAATAAGGAATCCATCACAGTAAATRCAACCTAAGGACCTTGACTCTCTTCCCACAGCCTACTGCCCTGCTTGGCTTCAGCTGAGCTGCCCTTGATTGACACTTGTGCAATCAGGGGAAAAAAAAAACCCCCTCAGGCCTTTGGGATAGTTGTATCTGTATTTATATGGAGTATGTAATCCTGACTTATAGCAGTCCTTCCTGTGGATCAGCAAGCTGAATGCTCTGGCTTCAAGTTAGCCCTTAAATACGAGCTTGATTTTAAGGATACGAGGGGGTGCATTTTAATTGGTGCATTTGTGTAATTAAAGTGATGCACGTGCTGGGGTCTTTGCCTCAGTGAGACTGGAGCACTCATCTCTTGACAGAATCGAGCCCTCAAGTTTTGAAACTCCCTTTAAGAGAGCTTTGATTGGTGATGATGCAAACTGACAGACTCACAAAGGCTGTTCCCARCGTCCAGTCTTTCTTGTTTGCCTGTTTCTGTCATTCCTCGCTGTGTATTGTTTCCTACAGAACAAGAGCAAGTGAGACAGCAGTATCTGTTGCCAGGTGTAAGGAAACAATGAGAGGAAGTCTGATGCTCAGGTGGGAAATGATGTTTTACTACTCCCAAGAAACAAGATTAACTTCTTTTTTTTAGAAGAAAGTTTACAAGTTGCTCTGTGCCTTAACCACTGGTTGCTTGTTGCTGACTACAAAGCACTTGTCCAGGCTGTAAATCCTGAGGGGAAGGGGCTGCTTTGCTTTGTCTTACAAATGTGACACTTGATGCAGTGTGCTGGGGAGAGTGAAGTCTCTGGGTCCAGCTTGTGCTGCTGCCAACAGCAGCTACTGTAAGTGGTTCACAGCCTTCAGACAGAATATGGGCCAAGCCAGAAAAGTCTCTAAAAACTTGTGACGGATAATTTCTGCCATGCTTAGGGTAATTGCAAGGGTAGGATAGTGCATAAACCAACATGGTTATCTTGGTTGTCAGTACTCTGGCTTAAGAAGTTAATGAGGATTTACAGATGTATTAGTGTTTGATTCATAAATGTCAAAATGTGCTCATCTTTGTGGTGTAAATACTGCAAATATGGGACAGAAACAAAGTTGTAMGATTTATTGGCAGTACTCCGTAAAACAAACTATAAGATATCACATAAAATCTTAGGCTTATTACCATTCAGATTTTCTTTTCTCTTTCAGAAGATATGAGCTATTTTTAATTTATCTCAAACAAACTGAGAATCTTGCTGCTGAGAGGCAAAATTTGGAGGAAACTGGTTTGAAAACAGTTTGGTCTAAAGTTCGCGTGTCAAACTTTTTTCTCTAGTGCACATTTCATAATGGGCTTGCTTCTAGTGAGCTCTTTCCTCTTACTGTTTTGTATTTAGTTGAGGTAGCAAAAATGTAACAAGGATTATAGGATACGTTTTCAGACTGTCCTGAAATTGTATCATCATTCTGATGATATCTGTGAAATGTTTTGTACACTGTATCAACAATCTTGTTCTTTTGAGTGCCTTAAAGGAGAAAATATTTATCTCTTATAGCACCTGTAAGGGCTGGACTCTTGTAATAAGGAAATGATTTTGAGGTAACTGCAATACCTTATAATGTAGTGTTTGATTACATTATACCAGTTTTTTTTTTCATGCAGCACATTACCAAGTTTACTTTCCTCTGCTTAAAATGTCAGCACCTCATCAAGCTGTTAAAAAAAAAAAAATCCTCTGTGATTAATTATTCTTTATGATCAGCTCATGCCACAGTGTGCATGCACACCCAGGTGTGAGCACTCGAGTGTGCACTGTAAGGAGCGTGGATCTGTGTTTCTGGTCCTACAGGCAATATGCTTTAACTGTTGTCATGCACATACTGTGCTGCAGGATTGTGAGAAGAAGCAAAACCCAAAAGAACCTCTTTTTTTTTTTTTGGTGTTGTCTCTCTAGTTGGTCGCTGCTCCAGCCTTTCTCTGCACAGGGGCTGCACGCTCAGCCCAGCTGCCTGCTTTTCTGCTGCTTGTCAGAGTGAATATCTCTTAGGCYTCCAAGCCTATGTCAGATTTGGTTATAATTGGCCAATAGACTCAAAACTTATTAGAGAGGGTCTGGCAGACGTGTTTATCCACAGATAAGCAAGTCTAAACATTGCCTTGGGAAAGCAGGCTGAAGGAGTTATTTTCTGAAGGAGTCGGGATGTAAAGCAAGTCCTCGCCTGGTGCTACAGTGGCCAGCAGGGAGGGCATTTTCATGAAAGTCACGGTCACGATTCTGAGCCTTATATAATTGGTGTTTGGAGTCATCTGTGGCAGCTTGCAGGACTGCAGATACAGATTTTCCAGAGTTTGAGGAATTGGGCCCAAACTACTGAATGCAATGAAGACGCCGGCGCAGCAATGTGAGCATGGGGAAAGCAACAGGGAGTGTAGGTTCACACTTTACATGTTCCAGAAAGCTTTTCCAGTGGTGAATGAATTGTACTATTCAGGAATCTGTGTGACACAGGCCTCAGGAAGTTCCTTCCACTGAAACTGACTGTGTTACACATTAAAATTAATTCAGGGCTGAAGTCAAAATGCATTGCTGCAGACCTCTACTCTGTGATGCCATTAAGCCAAAGAGTACAGTTTCACAGACCAGGATGAATAAAGGCACATATTTAAAATGTTCATCCTTTAAAGTTACCACTTACTTCCTTAACACAAAAGTAACTGTTGCTGTTTTGCAGGAACAAAAGGAAATATTCCTWGGTGTTCAGAAAAAAATCACATTTAAAGCCTAAAATACAGAATGGATAGAAGACATATCTGTAAAGTAGCCACTTAAAAGTCTTCAGAAGGTTAAGTTATTCAAGACCTATTCCCTGAAGCTACAAACGTATTTGTTCATGCATAACTTCACTAAGGAATACTTATGTGAATAAAATTACCCACTTACAGGTTTGTAAAATGAAGACTGTAATTAGCTCTAGGTTAATTCCCCTGCTTCCTAATTAAAAACACACAGGTCAATTAAGGATCAAACGAGTCATTACCTTTGTGATTATCCTCCTTGGCAGAAATAGCTCTTCTGATAAATATTTCCATTTCACTATGATCTGACCTTTTGTCAAACTTGYTTTCCTTTATCCTTACCAATGTTGGCCAAGGAAAAACACTGGTACTTAAAACAGACCATGAAAAGATGAAATGCTGAAACACATAGTGTGGGCACATATGGCTTTTAGTGAAAAAATTGTTGGGTGAAAGAGTATATTTATGAGCTGCATTTGGCTGCTTCATTTGTTTGTCTCTCCTAAGTACACAAATACAGCTTTATTTACACCTAAATCTACAGCTAGATAGTTAAAGAGAATTTTC